TTTTTTTTTTTCTCTTCTTTCTATTCTGCATCCAGGCCTCAAATCCAGCTTTTCGTATTCCTTCATTCTTCTCCCTTTTCTCTGATTTCTCGTGTTAATAGAATTTCGTACCTTATGATTTTGGACTACTCCCTAGTGTTTCATGTGTATTTACTCCTGTCACCCTATGTTGTGTACTTTTTCATAGTTGATACTATGGTTTATACTTTTCTGAATCATCTAATGCAATGATATTATATCAAGAAATGCTTCTTTTTTACAGTATAATTATAATAAATGCTCAACTTTTAGCTTAACTCTCAGAGCACTCAGCACATCTCTTTAGAATTGCAGGAATCTATTTCTGTTTGCAGCAGCTGATGATTGTTTTATGAATCCTGCAGAAGTATTCATTCAAGTAACATTTTTTTTTCTTTTTTAAATTTTTGTTTCAATTAGTGTTAACATCCAATATTATTTTATATTAGTTTCTGGTGTACAGCATAGTGCCCAGACAGCCATACAATTTAGGAAGTGATTCCCCCCACCACCAGTCCAGCACCCACCCAACAATGAACATTTTTTGAACCCCTATAATATAGTATTATTACAGGGCATCCACTTTTGCAACACCCTAAGAGATAAATGGTAACGTCCAGCTGGGAGGAGGCCTATTTCTGCGGCAACTTCGGAAAGGGAAAGGTAGGATAGGTTTTGGTATGAGTCCTGATACTTGGAATCCACTTCTTCAACAGGTTCTGGACATCTAGTTTCCAGCCAAAGGCAAGCCCTGGGTAAAAGGCAGAGAATGGAACTCCGAATAGTGCATAGTTGACCCATGAACAACGCTAGAGATAGGGGCGCTGACGCCCCCGCTCCCAGTTGAAAATCCGCGTATAACTGCATATATTCTGGGTTCTAACTATGGTGATCAACTTGTCCTGGTTTGATGGGGACTGTCCTGATTTTAAAAGAAGTCCAGCATCTTGACATATCCCTCACTTGCAGGCAAACCAGAATGCTTAGTCATCCGAGCTCTAAGCCTAACTCTCCTGTCCAAAGGGCTTCTGGAGGTAGCGTTTCATCCTGAGTGCATTTCCCACTGCGCAGCGCTCGTAGCTCGCCTTCCCTCCTGCGTCTAGACTACAAGTCCCAGCATGCAGCTCGGCCCCTTCTGCGGCAACCCTTGGCCTGCTGGGCTCTTTCACGCCTGTGTCCCCTTAAGGCATGGAGCCTGGGAGCCTGTGCGCGCTGACGTCATGCGTTGACGCCATAGTCTTAGCGCCTGTCTCCGATCTTCTGGCATGACAGAGTCCCATCGCAGGAGTGGTGGGGAGGTGCTTTTTTCCGCGTCAGTTCGATTTTTTTTTTTTCTTTGAAGCCGTGGTGGTATAAAAGCCGGAATCTGGAAAGAAGCCGTCACCCCTAGCTCTCTTTCCTCCAAGTTTGAGACTCCTGGGTTCAAGATGGACAAAGTCTGTGCTATTTTTGGAGGTTCGCGGGGCCTTGGCAGGGCAGTGGCTCAGTTAATGGCCCAGAAAGGCTACCGACTGGCCATCATCGCCAGAAATTTGGAAGTGGCCAAAGCCGCCGCCGGTGACCTCGGCGGTAGGTACTGGAGTTGTCCAGTTGTGTGGCTGCAGTCCAAGCAGCTTGGCTCCTCGTTTTTAAAACGAGCAGGTCTGGCCTTTATGGCTCTGAGGTTTAGCAGTTCAGCTGCCACGTGCAGGAGCACTTTTGTCCCGAATGTAGCCTGTAGCTTGTGCAGAGACGCTCCCTCCCCCACTTCCCCCCATTGTTTCCTGCAGAGTGCCTCCGTCCACGCTGCTTGTCACCAGTGGCTGAACTCTTAGGGTTTTCTTTTGAGACTTAGTAGTTTTGTGGTGCCATATTAATAAGAACTCACCTCCCTGAGGCTAGTGCTAGCAGAAAGGAGCTGCTTTGTTTTGGCGTCTGGAAGGAGGGGAGGCACACAACAGTTAACTTTTTATATAGGGCAAAGAGCTCACTGGTGGTTTAAGATCCTGGGGCCCGAAGAGGAGGGCTGGTCAGAAAGGAGTTCTGTCAGGAAAGGTAGGCGTGTCGGTCTTAAAATGCTTGCTTCGTTTTGCTGAGGGCTGTTCCCGCCTGAGTGTGGATGCACAAAACTTTCATATAGAGAAATTTTTGAGTACCAACCAGTTTTGAGATGTACCTGGTTTGCTTTAATACCACCACCATAAGCACTTAAGTTACGAACTCCTTTTGGTGACTTTAACAAATGGGCAACTGAGATTTGTTCTGCCAAATTCCTTTTTATTGCATTTAAACTTCATTTTTTTTTTCTGTTTTATAATGGATTAGTACTTGTTTTACATTGTTTTGCGAATTTAAGTTTCTTTTCCTGGTAAGAGAAAGGATGTTTGAAAGATGCTGCTATTTGTTTAATTACTAGAATGTACAGATGCACCTCATTTACTATCAAGGAGGCTTTAGGGGAAAATAGAAGCCTGGGAATGCATCTGGTACCTGTAACCTTTAAAATAACATTACTGATTGGTTCACCCTAATTGGTTATGTGGGTTGGGAGAATGTTAGAGTTCCTAAAAGTAAAAAACACAAAGAAGTTATATATGAGAGACAATTTCAGTGAATGCTTCTTGCTGCTTCTAATTATTGCCATTATGTTACTGACAAATGGGTGAGAAAGTGCCAGGCTTTATGCTTTCCACCCAAGCCATCAGTGTTTGTTGGACAAAATTAAAACTGCTGGTTGAGCTTTCAAGGGTTGTGAATCCAACTCTTCAGATGGAAGCCAAGCATGAGACAAAGGATACTTTTGGGTCTTTCATTTCCTTGAATTGTATTCCATAAGTGACTTCCCAATGACTTACTCTTTGCAAAGGCTTTGGTAGGTAATTTTAATATTAACTATTAGACAAGGTCAGCCAGAAAATAAACAATTGTTTTTTTTTAAAATCTACATTTGAGAGTGTTAAAATGGTATGGGTGGTGAACACACAATGCAATGTATATATATGCCTTACTGTTAAATTGTACACTTAACACTTACTAGATTTCATTAACCAGTTTCACCATAACAAAAATTTTAAAAAACAATAAAATACAAAAAAATTAAAATATATTATTAAATAGAGAATGCTTTATTTGAAGGGTAATTTTTTTTTGGTATTTAAATATTTGAAAATGTGACCATTAAAAAAGTAACAAGTTGTTTATAGGAAAAAGCTTTTTTTCATTGTTTTTCGTTTTAGCATTTTTACAGCTTCCTCCTTTGTTTTAACTTTCCTAATGGTCAGACTTTAATAATAGCCACCGTCATCATCAAAATAATATATGTGCCTAGTTAAAAAAAAAAAAAGAAAGAAACTCTAGAGTTTATTATGCTCAGGGCAGGGCTAGGAAACCAATTTGACAAAAACCTAACACAATTAGACATAAATTTCAAAAAAGGAATATAAAATCCAGAAGACTATTGAACAGAATTAGGTGGATTCAGTGTCAAAGCTATAAATATTATCGGATGAATTTTACAAAGCATTATGAACACAAAAAGGCCCTTCTCCCACTTTTTGTTGATTAAAAACAAGTTTTAAGGTTTACATCCTGTAGTAGTTTATTTCTCCTTGTTTACCACCACCCACTTTCCTCTTTTATTACACTGAACTCAATGAGAGCAGGAACCAGTGACAATCTTATCTCTAGGTTCTAGATTAGCACAGGCCTAGCTTATAGTAGATGCTTAACAAATGTGTATTGAATAACTTTTTAATTCAAGTTACAGTTTATAAGTAATTGTAATCTTTTGTGTGTAGGTGGTCATTTGGCATTTAGCTGTGATGTTACCAAAGAACAAGACGTTCAAAATACTTTTGAAGAGATGGAGAAAAATTTAGGTCCTGTTAGTTTTTTGGTAAATGCAGCTGGAATTAACAGGTTGGTCAAATTTAAGCACATTTCTAATATGTCATTTCTTCCCTAATTTGTCTTTGCTTAACATGAGTTAATATGTTAATTAACTTGGTTTACTTCTAATTGGAATAAAAACTGTATTTTAAAATTTGGTCGGTCAGTCCATGCATTCTTTTCTTTTATTGAGATATAAAATAAGGATATAGTTTGTTCAATTTTAACGTTGTATTCAACACCCATATTGAGCTACAGAACTTTTTCAGCTCTCCAGAGGGCTCTCTCAGTTTCTTCCCAATTAGTAGTTCCTTATAGGTAACCACTATTCTGACCTCTCTCACCATATATAAATTTTCTTAGTTCATAAACTTTAAATGGAATCAGAGTGGGAATTCTTTTTTTATAATGAATTTTGGACAGAATATTTAGAATAATATTAATTTTCTTGCTAATTCACTCTACCTGAGAGGGGATAGGAACATGACTTCCAAGTGGATCTTTTAGTTTTTATTTTAAGGCCTCTCAAACCAAGTGTAAAATGAGACTTTTTAGGTATTCTAGCTCAAATATGAAGCATTTCTTAAACTCTACTTTCAGTAAAAATGTTACACATTTATTGACATTTTTTGTTTTATCCCATTTTTAATTAACATGCTTTTTTTTTTTTTTTTTTAAAGGGATAGCCTTTTAGTAAGAACAAAAACTGAAGATATGCTATCTCAGCTTCATACTAACCTTTTGGGTCCCATGCTGACCTGTAAAGCTGCCATGAAAACTATGATTCAACAACAGAGAGGTTCTATTGTTAATATAGGTGAGTCTTCACTTTTGCGAATTTATAATTATCATAGTACCATAAAAATATTTAATTGACTAAATTGGAATTTGTGTGAAACTTAGATGAAATGTGTTGTTGTCTGGAAAAAGGATTTGATTAACTGAGCAATAGGTAAAACAGGAATCACAAATTCATTTCCTTATAGTAGTCAAGTAGGTGTTAACTGAGTTGACACCGCCAGCTATTAGAAAAATGACAGCACAAGCCGCATGAGAGATGACAAATGATGGCCAGCTTTGTTGTCTAGAGGCCATTTGAAATGGCAGGTGCAACCACTGCTCAGATCCAGTAGATTGTTGCTAAGCATTAATGTGGTCTTGGTTTTGTGAGCTGTTTTGATTTTTTAAGATAAATTGGACATCCTGATTTTTATGTGAAACCTAATTTTTAAAATATGGACAAGGAATTGAAAAATTTTAGATATTGGGGGCTAAAAATGATGTCTAGAGCAGTCACATGGGTCACCGATTAATCTAGTACAGAGTTTTAAAAGGAAGCTTAAGAGAGTGACTTTTTCACTTTTTTAGCATAGATATAGGTACTGCTTAGATTTTAGGGTCAGATAAACTGTAGTGTGTGCCTATAGGCCTTAAAATGCAAAATGACTTGAAATTTTATTTCAATTTGGTAATTTGAAAATAGTAGCATACTGTCTGCCTTTTAATTTTGAGTGGTAATACCTTAAAAGGCCACAAAAGGGAGATGCTTCTCTGTTATAGTAAATGACTCTATTCTTTCTAATATAGACAATAGCTTTCAAGCCAGTATATAGGGTTTTCCTCTTTTGAAAATGAGAAGAGGAAAGAATTCTGTACTAATAATAAACATTAGAACTTTTTTAACGTTTATCCTTAAAAATATAAGAGATCAGTTTTCTTAGATGAGTAAACGAGTCGACCTTTGCCTTCTACTAGCCAGATAATGATTTGGGGTTCTTATAAGCTGGTATACTGGCTTGTATATATCACCAGATAACATGGAGTATGTTTGTTTAAATCTAAAATATTTACCCTTTTTAGATATATTTAAAAAACCCATGTCAGTCCTTTGTATATATAAATTTTTAGAATTGTGTTACAAGTAAATAAAAACATATAATTGAAAATAAATTAAGAGAACCTTATTCTAGAAAGGACTACTTTAAACTGCTAGAAAATTCATGATATTTCAGAAGGTACCGCTTTTCACCAGAAGAACAATAGTGTGTGTGGTATGAATCAAAGCTTCCCGTTTGGCCTTTCATGCCTGTATTTTTCTTTCTTTTTTATCTTATATCATCATATTTTTCTTTCTCCTAAATACCCCTTTCTCTGTTCATCTGCATTTTCTCTGTTATCTCTTTTCTTTTTGTTCTTCACAGTTCTCTTTCTTTGTCATTAACTGGCATATAATATATAATGTAGATAAATATTTTAATATTGGACTTGTTGATTATAACAAGTGTTTGGAATGTTTTCTAAAATAAAAATTTTCAAAACTTTTGTGAGGGTCTTGATTAATTTTTATATCATAAGTACAGGTCACTGGTGCAGAAAATTACTTCCCCACTTATGTTTTACATGAATTTATTTGCATACAGTTGGTATTTGAATTATAAATTATTCTTTCATATTCATATAAATGAGGCCACCCAATAATCTTTAGTAGACATTACAAGTTACTGAAAGTAACGAATTACAAAGAATTTGTGGTTGAAGCTTTGCTTATTTAGATTGACAGTAGTTCACATTTAGTGAGATCTTCAGATGAACTATTTTTTCAGGTGGAAATGAGTACTGTGGAACCATAAAATTAATCAGCCATTATCTGACTTTTTTTAGTTTTAACCTCTTCCTACTGGAAGCCTTTATAAATACTATAGAACTTTTATCCTGTCAGACCTAATGAAATGAGAGTGGATTCTTTTCACTTAATGGATCAGTTCTCAAGCCCTGTTTGGCATTTGGGATTTCACACAAGCTTTCAAAACTTGTTTTCTGTGTATCTGGAGCAGACTCAGATTCTTACCACTCAAATGACAATAGTTAGAAATCCTGATTTTAGCAAAGGACAAGGTGAAATAATTTGTACCTTTTTTGTTTGTTTACTATAAATTATCTGAATATTCAGATAACCCCATTAATTGGTTTGAATTTGATTTCCCTTTTTTTCTCCTAGGAAGTATTGTTGGTTTAAAAGGCAATGCCGGCCAGTCTGCGTACAGTGCCAGTAAAGGAGGATTAGTTGGATTTTCACGTGCTCTTGCGAAAGAAGTAGCAAGAAAGAAAATTAAAGTGAATGTAGTTGCACCAGGTCAGTGAAAACTTTTTTCTTTTTAAACATAATTTTTGGATGTTTATGGTTTTGTACTGTAATAGCAAAGATTGTTCTTGGGTTTGTAATTGCATCAGCATCATTAGGCACTTCTCAGAGAGTATCAGAACAGGAACTTGGAATCTGCACTGTTACTAAACTCTTGAGTAGCAAAATGAGGGAGGGTGTGACTATGTCCTGACAGGACTTAAAGTGGCCATTCCTGGCCACACTGCCAGGCTTTTGTTTGCATAAACCACATTGCATTTTTTACTGAATGATTATATCCAAACTAAAATCACAAGAGAAACTTTTTATTTAAAAATCAATTATAAATTAAGAATGTAAGTATTTTAAGTGTGTGGAGGGCGGGGGGTGGGGGGGCGAGTAATATTGGTAACATATACCCAGTAATTGAACAAGTCCAAATTGTATACCTTTAGAGAACTGTTTCCATTTTAAGTATTCTTCTTTTCTTGTGATAGTCTATTTACTGCTCACAACATTTGCTAATTAATTTAAACTTTGTCAGTTTGTCAAAGGAGAACTTTCCATGTAATGTGCCTATTACCTAAATATATTCCATATGTCTATATTACAGAAACAGTACATCTTTATATTTAAAATGTCTAAATAGCTTCATAATACAATATGCTTTTAATAACAGTATAAACCAGAGGAAATAATCAAACAAGGCTGCATACGTGATATCATTTGCACATTTCCCAAAGTAATCACATATAATAACTGATATAGTAACTACTCCAGAAAGTCAGTATTTGTACAGAGAAAGAAATGCTAGAGGTCACATATGTTTCTTTTCAAAATAGATAAGAAGCCTTTCATTGTATCCCAGAGAGCTACCCAGGATTCATGTTAGAATTTCAACACAAAGGAAAATTTTAAAAAAGATATTTACATAGAGGAAGAAAACATCTTTTTAAAAGTCACTCTATGAAGTAATAAGATTTTAATAGTGAGTCTAGGAGTTGTTGCCTCTTTAATGAGCGAGTGGGGGCTCTGAGGATCATTGTGTATTGGTATCAGAGAAGGAAAGTGTTAGTCTGTGATGACAGAACTGAGAACCAGCCTGGTACTGTGGCACTAACAAGCTCTATTACATATGCAGGAGGTACTACATTTGCAGGGAGTGGCCAACAATGAAGATGATTAGAGAGGTGGCTGTTTAATGAATTTTCAAAATAGTAGAAGTTAGTGGGAAGCTTATAATAGACCTGCTGCCCTCCTGTAGGGAATCTGTCAGGAACACTTGTGTTCTTAAACATGTAAGAAAAACGAGGCCTTCAGAGATGCAATTCACCTGTAAGACAAAGCAAGCGTGATCTGGGCGAAGTACACAGAAGCTAGAGCCTTTTCTAGAAGGCAAAGGGAACATTTTTGCACACCTGTTCCTTTTATTTTGCTGACTTTGGGTATTCCACATTACTTGAAAATATTGGTGGATTAAATGGGATCCAAAGCCAATTAACTTGGTCTGTTGGTTACCAGTAATTGGAAAATATTAAAACATAATGATCAGAATTATAGTTTAGGTTGTCAAAGGCTAAAGAAATTCTTTAATTCTCTTTTTTGATTTATAGAGAAGGGAGTCATTAGGCCTATTAATTAATTGGTACTCATGGATTGATGCCTGGGTAGAATAGTTCTAAAAACTGTGAAAAGAATCAAGTAATGAACTAGTGACTAGAGAAAAATTCTTTGTGCCTTATATTTTCCATAAAATCTTTATTTTTAAATTTCATACTAATTTTAGAATAACTTGAGGTGGAAAGGATTTTAGAGATCATTTATTCCAGTGATTTTTACGGTTTAGAAGACTGGGACCTAGGAGACAGAGTGATTTACTGAAGATTACACAGCTAGTTTATGGCAGGACTGTTACTAAAAGCTTTATCTTTGGATTTGCAGCTAAGGTAAGCTTAAAAATAATGGCCCCTTAGATTTTCTTTATATCGTTGCAAGCAGTTTAGGTGTTTTCGTCCTTTTGCTACTGTGGTCTGTCTAAACTATCTGGACTCTTCCAGTTTTATAACTTTTGCCTTTATATTATTTGCCTTTTGCCAAGTTACTAGTTGATAAAATTGCCTGGAATAGTTAAGAAGGTAATAAAAAAGTACTAAAACTTAATTCTACTATTATCACTCATTTGTTAGGGTGATAGAAATATTTGTTAGATACTTAGTTGGCCTTTGAATAAAATGAGTGTTTTTATATACTTCTGCCAGTTAGCCATGAAATCTTTGTTTTAGTTTACTATAGATATTTAAGAATTGATTACCTATATGAGAAAAGACATTTTGTTTTTGTTCATTGGTTGTTTGTAAGAAACTGTAGACCTTTGCCACCTTTATGTTTCAAGTCACTAATGGCTCCAGCTTGGACCCTAAAGTTGGAGTTTTACTTGGCACTGATATTGAACTAGCAGGGATCAAGGAATTGCCAAAATGCTCTGATAGCCATTTTGCTCTGTAACGTGCCTTTATCCTAATTCATTGTTCAGTAACAGAGACTAAATTCATTCATTGCAAATCCATGAAAATTTGATAAATGACTATGGTTTAGATACAATACATCTATTTTTTCCAAAAAAAAAAAAAAAAAATCGAAAGCTTCACTGTCATGTTGGCACCGCTTTCTGTTTGTTTATGCTTTATGCAACATGATTTGATTTTAGTGTTAGCCCAGTGTATATGGAGAATAGATTATTTATGATTTAGGACTGCATATATTTGCTTCCTTCTCCTATAGGGATTGTAATGGTATGGATAATGAAGAGTTATTCTGGTTCATTTTGATTTAGAAGCTGGATGGTTTAAGGATAATGCAAGTGTTCTTAATCCGTAATTAATCATTCTGCAGAGTTACTGTCATGTATTCTATATGCAAAGGCTGTGCTAGGTTCTAAAATTACAAAAATGAGTAAGATACTTCTGCTACAAGGAGCTAAGTACAGTGGGAAACACAGACATAAACAAGTAATTACAATGTCATTCGATGAATGTAGAGATACATATCTATGATCTATGGAAACACTGAAGAATGCTTAATTTTGTCTGAGTGAATTAGTTGTCAAGGCAACAGCCTAAATAGTGGGAATCTAGTTTGTATACAAAAGGAGGTTTTATGAGTGTTATGGAAGTGTGTTTGTATGTATAACCTTTCCTAAAGATCTTTCTAGTACAATTTATACTGCAGAAAAAACTTATTTCTAAAAATGTGGCCATTTATAGGTTGACTTTTATTTTATTGGCTATATATATTTATCAGGTTTCCTGGTATGAATATGCCTCATTGGTCAGAAGCAAACTATAAGTTAAAAAAGTACAATTAAATAGATTCCATGAATTATTTATTAACTTTATTTTAGATAGTAATTACAACCAAATTCTTCACCAGATCTTTAAATAGACCTGACAAACATTGAATTAACACGTTTCTTTTTCTGTCAGTTTTCCTGGTCACCATCAAATGGAGTTCCCAATTTAGGAAAATAGCTAAAAAGCAAATCATAACAGGAAAAGCAAGGAACAAGAAAAATAATAAATTAGGTTATCATTTGCTGCCTAATATTACTGATATTTTAAAGATCAGTTAGTTGGTACACTTTAGTATTACTTTAAGTATAAAAATAAATTACTCATGGATAAACCTTACTGATATGAGAAACTATTTGATAAATTGAAATTATAATGGGAACATTGCTTTGAAATGTATGTGTTTTCAGTAGATAATACAAACGATACAAAATTCAAAAGTATGATGAGGCATAGAGGGAAAAGTAAGTCTCTTCGACTCATCTAGTTCCTTTCCTCAAAAGCAACCCACTGTTAACTAGTTTCTTCTGCATTTCATATACAAGACAATAAAGTATGTGTGTTTGTTTGTATGTGTGTGTATATATTTAAGAGAACACTATTTACAGTGTTCTGTACCTTGCTTTATTTGTAGAACAATGTATCTTGGAGTTGATTCCATATTATTCCACATATAGCTGCTTCATTTTTTGAGTAACAATTTTATTGAAATATAATTCACATACTATACAATTCACCCATTTAAAGTGTACAATTTCAGTGGTATAATCACAGAATTGTTCTATCACCAAAATACATTTTAAAACATTTTCGTCATCCCAAAAGAAACTCTGTAGCCATTAACATTTGCTCCCCATTTCCCTCCAATCTCTTTAGCTTCTGGCAACCATTAATCTACTTTCTCTCTAGATTTTCCCATTCTGGACAATTCATATAAATAAAATCATATAACATGTCTTTTGTGACTGCTATGTCACATAATGGCTGAGTTAAAAGACGATAAATTCTGTTTTATAGGTGTACCATAATTTATTTTACTTGTTGTCTCTTGTTGGGCATTTAGATTGTTTCTCATTTTTTGATATTACAACTAATAATGCAGTGACAATACTTGTATGTGGTTTATTTTGCACATGTGTGAGTATATGAGCATAATCCTGGGAATGGGACTGCCAAGGCTTGAAGGGTACATGCATTTTAAATTTCGACGAATAGTTTAGCATTGAATTTATTTCTATTGGGTACCTTAAATGTTTTTGCCCCCTCCCTTTTTTTAATTTGAAGAGTTCTTATGTTTACTACTTGGAGAAAACCTTGTTGACAAATGCTGACATAAATTTGGCCACCACTCAAAACAGATAATTCTCTGCGTGATCTTATGGACTGTTTGGTATGGAGTTGATTTTCACATACTGCTTCCCTATACAATTTATAAACATATTAAAGACATAGAAATTCATTCTCTTTAAAAATCTTGGTCTAGTTTTTGTCAACAGCCTTGTTTCTTCTGTCTTAAAAAAGTGAGATTATAATTCTTTTTAGGCTCTAGAGACTAATACTAGAGAATGGACTTCTGAGTTCATAGATATATCAAGTAGTGCACATCCACAATTGTTAATACTAGTGATAGGCAGATATCCTAGTGTCTTATTTAAACATAAAGTT